TTTTTTTTTTACTGTTTGAAATTTATTTTACACTTTTCTTACTAAGAATTTATCTTTTGAGTAACTAGGTACTTACGAATACTTAAGGAATCTTTTTGGTTTTTTTTTGCACTGTTTCTATATGGTCGATTATATCAGAAAATTCTCTTTGTTTGCGTGTGTCTGTTTTTTCTGTGGGACTTCTGTATATAATTATTTTTAGGCACCAAAATGAGCTTTTGTGATGGAGGTAATTTTCTACAGGATTTGAGGTGTTTTTTTTTAATTCCAGTTTTAATGCTGATTCATTCAACGTGGTTGATCAAATCAGTCAGAATTACTCGTGTTGGAGGAAGCAGAATGTTTTGCATGAGCAAAAAAAAAATTTTTTTACGTGTGTGTACGTTTTAGTGTAATTTGGAATTGCTAGGTCTTTTTTGCTTTTGTACTTTCAAATGTGCATTTTTGGATTGGTCTGTAGAACACTCTACTGGCTGTTTTACCTGATTATTTCTGCTTTGAAATAAATATTTTATATACAAAACTCGCGTTTTCTCGGCATTGCTGTAAACATTTGTTAATATATGCAATAAATTTAGCGATTAACGAACGAAGGGGTTTGAGTCAAAAATTTTTTTTTATTGTGGTTATTCAATTTTTTTTCGTGTGCTGTATCTGCATTTAGATGATCTGGAGGAAAGGGAAGCGAGATTTAAAAGGAAAATAAAAAGGAAGAGGTTATTTAATGTACGCAGCAGATGATTTCTTTTATGACCGGTCTTTGGTTGCGAAGGCAATATCACATTTTATTCAGTTCTTTTTTTTTGCAGCCAAAAGACCAGAGTCATAGTTTTGTTCTTTTTTAACTTTTGGTTTTGAGTACGTTTGGGAACTAGTAAGTGGATATACTGTCGACCTGAATGGGGAAAAGTGTTCTACCAAACTGGTGAAAACAAAGATTAGGGATTAATGCAATTCTAACTTAGAAGTAACGCTTGTTTTTGACAGGTTCGTTGGGGATAATTGGTGGTGACCAACTGCAGTGCTTTTTTCTTTTTGGGTTTTTTTCTACAAATTATGATATTACGGTAAGTTATCAGTTTGTCGCAGTTGTTGTTGCTGCTGTTGTATCAATTTCTGAAATTATTGTCAGTGTTATTAAACAGGTTATTTTCACCGATTTCTGCTTGTAGTTCAATTAGTATAATAGGTCACTGAGGAGAAAAGACAAAATAAGTCTTCCGAATTTCTGCATTATTTATTTGTTTTATTTTCAACTTCAAGAGTTCTTCAGTTGGTCTTCACAGCTACGGTAGCGATGGTCAGTCACAGTTTCTGTATTTGTGGCTTCAAATAGGTTGGTTCTTTTTTACATAGATCGCTTTTTACTTTCTTCATCACCATTTCAAATAATCAAATTTCTTTTTCATTCTTTTTCTTCAATTCTTTTGTTTTTTTCCTTTTTTGTGTGACTAACCACTTCCGTTTCAGCAATAATCGGCCAACTGTACCGTAAATAATTTGGACTTCAGATTACGATCATTGTTGTTTCTTTTGGATATGCTGGTTCCTTCCTGTCGTCAAAACGATGATCGTTTTCGTGCTTGTCTGACTGGTCGTCTGGACAGCTGATTCGTTGGACAGAAAATTGGTTTTGTCACCGCTTGTACTGTATTCTATCCTACCTCATTACCGAGTTTTAGAACTTGATAATCACTTTATGGAATCTTGAGCGTCAACTCAATGCACATAATTCCAAATAATTTTTGAAACCACTTGAAAACAATAAAATGTTTGCAGAATTATGGATAAATTGAAAATACAAATGGAAAAGAGATATTTTTTTGCAAGTATGTGGTGATAGTGATTTGCGCAAAAGTTGATTCCAAGTGATCGATGACCTATTAAGCCACTTCAACAGCCAAAATGCTGACGTCCACTCAAAACAGCAAAAAAACTACTTTTATATGTTTGACTTGTTTTTTATTTTAACTGTATGAGTAGAAAGTTGAAAATAAAAAAGTAAAAAAAATTTTTCTTGTAAACGTGACGTTCACTTAGTTAGTAGTGTTTAGTTATGAGAATCAAAGGTTAATCAGTGTTTTAGCGAAGTTTTCATAGTTAATGAATAATCTGTGGGACTGTTATTTTTTTATGGACAATATATGATGTTGTTTAAATGGAAAATATTTTGCTCAAGTCTGCAAGAAGTTCATCGTTGATTATTGTTTGAGTGTACGTATCAGATACCGGACAACAGCAAGCAACAATACGGGAAACAAGAACAACAACAACTTCATCAAAATCATCGTTATTGCCATCAATATTATTGTTATTGTTGTCGTTGTTGTGGTTGTTGTTGTTACAGTTGCTATGTGTTTGTCCTCATATCATTTGATAAAGCCAGAAAATCTGTTAATAGGTTTTACATTTAACAGGCGATTTGTTGTTGTAAAAAGTGGTAAATTTGTTTCCGACATGGTATTCGGCATTAGTTCGAATTTTGCAATTAATCTTTGCTTTCACTGATTGAATAGCCGCAAACAGACAAGATAATGCTTCTAACATTTTTGCTGTTTGGCTCTTTCTTCATCTTTTTTGCTGATCTCGTGTAGATATTTCAACTACAGCAAAAAGGGCGGAAAATCCATCTTAATAGTGTTTTTTGTTGTAATGGAACAACTCGTCTTTCTTCTCACTGGTTCCTTCATTTACCCACTGTAAGTTCACCTTTTCAATAGTCTTTCGTCTTCTTTCTTACTCTCTCGGCACTTTTCTCGTCACCTCTCTTTTCTGTCTGGAAACAATTTTGGCAAGGGAAGGATTGAGGGGAAGAAGGAGAGGGTGGGAAGAAACGTGAAAGATATCGTTATTAACTAACGTAAATGTTATTCTATCAAAGCGCCATCGTTTTGATATAATTTTCGACAACTGTTTTTACTTAAAGTCAGTCAAAACTACATATGTTCCCTGTTCTTTAAAAGCCAATTTATGATAAAGACATTTGTTTCAGTGGTTACTATACTTCTTGTCTCTATTGTTCTCTTTCTCTTCTTTTTTTTCTTCCAGGTTTATTTGGCAATTTATATAAGTTTTTATGAGCTAAAAGAAAAAAAAAAAAAAGGAGAAAGGAGAAAACTAATAATTTTAAATTTACTTGTGAAAAAGTACAACACAGCAAAACAGTGTTTTTATTTTAAAAAAAAACAAAAAAAACGAAGAAAAATAATTTGCTGAAATTTCCCAGTTATAACTCGAATCTTTTTTTTTTCAAAAACAGTAATTTGCCATCTTGAATTTTTTGTTTGTAAATTTAACATTGAAAACTTATTAATCTCCTCGTTTATGTTTTAAGTCATAGAACTTTAATGACGCTTTCTTCAAAAATAAGTTCAATTGAAATTTTATATTCCAAATACATTTCTTGCTTTTTATGTTGTCGTCGACGATTATGAAATTTGTTGCTGACCATTTGCCTATAGGTCATTGTGTGGAAGTGGTGACGGAACGAAAACCAGTAAAAGATGAACGAAAACTAAACGAATCGCTAAAAAAATTTAGCAATTTTAGTGATGTCAAGTTAATGTAATCTAGTTATCAACTAAATAATGTTTATTTTTACTTTGGTTGATTTTGGAAAAAAGACACAGAAAAAGGTGTAATAACGCTGATAATTCCAACGGATTTAGTTTGATGGACAAGCAATAATTATACCAAAAACAGAACAGATTGCTCACTTGTAGTCATTACTGTGCGTTCCCATAAACCTCGGGTTATGAGGTGAAGGGAAAAAAAAAA